ACAAGAGTAATAAAATAAAGTCTTGTAAAAATCTGACAAACTGTACAGCTCAAAAGAGATCTCTCCATTTGACATTTCCACTGTTCATTTGTACAGAACCAATTTCTGGAAAGATTATTTACAATTAGATTTTAATTTACAGCTCTACAGCCAAAATTCAGGTGGATCACAAATTTAAGCAAATGAACTAAACGGACAGGACTACTCAAGTTGATGGTAAACACTCCAGTATCTCCTAAACTACAGGGTAAAAGCTTGCCTAACCTGAGCATTTAAAAGGACAAGCAAACTTACGTACTTTATAACTTCCTCTTCATATATAAAGCTTAATGGCAATATTTAAAAAGAAAAAAAAAAAAAAAACCCAACAAAAAAACCGAACACTATAGTTCTGACAGACTTGGAACAAACAAAAAACAAAGACCAGACCACATGATAATTATTCCCAGAATTCCAGTGTTCTGGGATATTCCTGGTAAATTAAATGTATTAAAATACATTTTTTTGTATTTTATAATACAAATATAATTTTGTATTTTATAATACAAAATAAGATGCCTTTGCTTTAGTCTTTTTGGTATTTCACACAACATGTTAGAACTGTTTCACGAGGTTCTAAATTCCCTTCTACTCTTTTTGGTTTGGATACACCACTCTTCATGAATGTTTCTATGTTCTAACCACACACATCTGCCTATGTGCATAATTACAACATTCATGGTGTATTAATCTTATTTACAAGATGGATGATTTCTAGCTCATGTCCTTATTTTAGGAGTCAAGAAAACATACACACATACGTACACAGATGCTTTGTTCCTATAAAATTTCTGCTCTAACTTCAGAACAGCAAGTTAATTTCTATTGTATATACAGGAACATAAAGAAACATACATATGTTTTTGCCGCCACAGTCAGCATATACCGTAACCAGCCCCCTGACCATCTTGGTGGCCCTGCACTGGGCTTGTTCCAGTGTATCAATCACTTTCTGGCACAGGGGAGCCCCAGACTGGGCACCAGCTCTCCAGATACAGTCTCACTAGTGCCAAACAGAAGGGAAAGGTCACTTCCTCAGACCTGCTGGCCACACATTTACTCACGCAGCCCAGGATGCCGTTCCTTGCAGCCACGACTCACCCCCAATGCAAAGACTGCTGCTGACTCATGTTCAGCTGGTTGTCCATCACAACCTCCAGAACTGCTTCCTAGACTGTTGGCCAGCTACCCAGCCCGTATCTCACCAATTTGGTGACAATGTGACTGGGGCCAAAGCCTTGCCATAATCAAATTATACTACACCCCTTTGCCCACAGTGCCAGTCATTTCACCACAGAAAGCAAAGAGGTCAATCAGGCATGACTTGCCCTTGGAAAATCCATGCCGGCTGCTCTGAATCACCTTCTTGTCCTTTGTATGCTGAGTAAGGGCTTCCGAGAGGATTTGCTTCACAACTTCCACAGGGACTCAGGTTATGCTGACCGGCCTATAGTTACCTGGACCCTCCTTCTTGCAAATGCGTGATGTTTTCTTTTTTCCAGTCATGGGGAACCTCCCCCAGCTGACATGGCCTTTTGAAGATGATAAGAAGCAGCTTTGCAATGACATTGCCCAGCTCCTTCAGCACCCTAGGATGCATTCTACCTGCTCCCATGGACTCATGTATGTCTACTTGGCTGAAGTGATTCCTAACTCTCTCTTCCTTTACTGTGGGTACTGCTTCATGCCCACAGACTCTGCTGGCAGGCTCAGGGCCCTGGAAACCCTGAGAGCAAGCCCTGCCACAGTTGAACAGGCAGGCAAAAAAAGGCATTGAGCATCTCTGCCTTTTCCATGTCCCTTGTCACTAGGTCCCCTGCCACACCAAACAGTCAGCCCACACTTTGCCTCCAGTGCACTTACAGAAACCTCTCATGTTGTCCTTCACCTCCCTCACTAGTCTCAACTCCAGCTGAATCATAGAATCACTTTGGTTGGAAAAGACCTTTGAGATCATCGAGTCCAACCTTTAACCTAACCCTGACATCCCACCACTAAACCATGTCCCTAAGCACCTCATCTATCCTTCTTTTAAATACCTCCAGGGATGGGGACTCAACCACCTCCCTGGGCAGCCCATTCCAGAGCCTGACAACCCTTTTGGTGAAGAAGTTTTTCCTAATGTTTAGCCTAAACCTGCCCTGGCGCAGCTTCAAACCATTCCCCCTCGTCCTATCATCTGTTACCAGGGAGAAGAGGCCGACCCCCACCTCACTACAGCCTCCTTTCAGGTAGTTGTAGAGGGCAATAAGGTCTCCCCTCAGCCTCCTCTTCTCCAGACTAAACAACCCCAGTTCCCTCAGCTGCTTCTCGTAAGACTTGTGCTCCAGACCCCTCACCAGCTTGGTTGCTCTCCTCTGGACATGCTCCAGCAATGCAACATCTTTTCTGTAGAGAGGGGCCCAAAACTGAACACAGGATTCAAGGTGCGGCGGCACTGTCACTTCCCTGCTCCTACTGGTCACACTATTTCTGATACAAGCCAGGATGCCATTGGCCTTCTTGGCCACGTGGGCACACTGCTGGCTCATATTCAGCCGGCTGTCAACCAGTACCCCCAGGTCCTTTTCCACCAGGCAGCTTT